CATATCATCTTCATCATACCAAACAACCCCAACTGGATGTATAAACTTATGACATGTGCAGTAGAAGTTCATTTCAAGTCATTCTCTTTTGGGTGCATCATAGATCCTATTGGCATTGATTTGAGGGGTGTCCAAGGGAAGCTTGAAAATGTGATTATGTATTTTATATTTTTATCTAATTTCTAAACATTTTTATTTTCTAGGTTATGATGTGGACCTATTATACCTTCTGTAAAAACACACATGATGGGTTTCGTGATAGCAAATGTAAGCACGTGTTTTGCCTAGGTACGACAATTCCACTAACATCATACTCAATCTTGTGGATGAGCAAATCCACAACACATTTCCAAGGTATTGATTTTGAACTCCATCGATGATGCAAGTCTTGCTTGAGCTCTATTGCCCACCAGATGGTGTTATGATTGATTGCACAACAAATAGCGATTTTATAGTGGAGGCAGCATGTGACTTTGATAGGTCAATGTTTGCTATTGAAGAACATCATTTCTTCAAACACCGGCTCAGAGGATCTCGTGAGTTGCCTCCAACCTCAAGGGTAAATTATGTTTATTAAAATTTCAATAAATATTTAATTCTATTTTATAGATCACAGTCATCTGAAGTTTCTAGAATTGGAGGCTTTGGAAATCTCTTTAACTATGCAGAAGCCATAGCTGAATATATACAAGGTGAATCTTTGCCACAATACCAATATAGGAGGAAACATAAAAGAAATCAATATGTTGATGATGAGGTAGAAGAAAGTTAATTGCATCCTTACATAAAATGAAAAATTTGTTATATGTCAGATGTCAGTATCAATGTTAGATATTATAATTGCAAATTATCATTCTCACCTGTCACCATCACTTTGTAGCACTTGTGTGTTGCCATCTCCTCCAACATTTTGTAAACAATTGTATGATAGCACCTTTTAAAACAAAGTATGTTACCTACAACTAATATCATTTTATTGTACTTTTTCTTTTAATAGTGACAATACTATAGTATAATAAAGTAATTTTAGACCTTACATTCCACTATAGGGTGGCCTAAAAGCCTCATATTTTTCACTAGTGTTTCTTAAGGGGATGTTGTTCCTCACCATAAAGTGATAGTAGGTATGTGTTCGTAACTCATTCTTGAATCTATTATACATTTACACATGCATATTTTTTAGACCAATCATTAAGCAATTGCTACAGTGCTCAAGAAAAGTTTGTAAACCCATAGAGCCATTTGTCTTGTCCAAAAAAAAGTAGCATATTAAAGACTGAATGTAATAGCATTTTGTGCTTTCAAGTAGTCCTGCCATGTCCGGAGCAAGATCTTGCAAAAACATGTGGCATTGCTCTTGAAGCATTAGAGGCAATCCCTCTCTAGTAGCAAGATTCAGAATTTTATATATAAAGAACTCTAATTCAACTTTACTAAAGCCCTCAATAGAAAAAGAATTATTATGTAGAGGTGAAAGTGAAATGTTGGTAGAACTTAGGGATAGAGGTGGAAATTGATATAAAATGCTGGGGGGCCAAATACGAGTAGGAGTGACTTTCCTTTGAACCATTTCAATACAAACTTCCAAGGAGCTCAAGGAGAACAAAAAAATTAAGATGACTATAACTTTTCTAAATAGTTTATATACTAAGTTTTAGTCTTGGGAATGAGGTTTATTTATTATGACATTGACAATACTTAGATTCTTTAAATGTCAGTCTTGGAAATAAGGCTTCATAATCATAGCTTACTTGTATATATAAGAGCTTCTAGAATTTTAGATTATCATGTATGCACATGCTCTATCATCATGATGAAATCTTACTTTACTACACATATATTCTTTTCTACACATGCCAAATGTATAGGGAAATAGACTGCAAAGAAATATAAACCATATTATAGTGGCAGAGCATATTGGCATACTACCATTCTCTTGTGTGAAATTGCTTTTTAGTCTTGGAAATGTAGATAAAGTTGATTCTTTGATGTAATATTACTTTTGAGTCTTTCAAAAGATTTCTATTCTTTTATTATTATTCACAAACAACTCCCGAAAACTTTTAATGAGGATTCACTACAAAAATATACCATGGTCTTATCATATAAGAGGATTGCAATATAGGCAGGCAACACAATTTTTAATATGAATTAATATGTAAATTACAAATGTTATAGAAAGTTTTATAGAGTAGTTTTTTGGTACTTTCTGCCATGCTGTTCATTTCTTCATTTTTCTTGTTCTAGACTGTTGTTTCAGAAGTAACAAGAGCATTTTTATGAATCGTGATAATGGTCTTTACATTCCTAGATAGGTAATAAGGACCAGGAGTATAATATAGAGATTGTGGCAGTGAAAATAAATTAGCATTTTCACATTCCTTGGCACTATAACTCTTATTCATAGATTTTATATTTTCCTTGCTTCCCATCTTCTTAAGAACCATAAAAAATCTTTTGAATGAAGGAATAGTATCTACAACTATAAAAGTATTTAAAATATTAAGTAGTCAAATCAGTAGTCAAAATAAAATAATACAGTTTTATAAAAGATAGGTTCTCGTGAACTTTGTCTTTTTTAAACAATTCAATCTTATAGAAACTTTTAACTCAGATATTTATGTATTTAAATATTTTAAAGTTTGCTAGAACCTTCATTTGTTCAATTTAGATTTCCTATGTAAGACTTTTAGTTGACTGTGTTGACTTGAGTTGACTTATGTTGAATTAAGCTCAATTCAACTTTGGACCATCCTCATCTCTAGCAACTGGTTCATTAACTTTTTCAAAATAAAGTGAGGAAAACCTTCATTAAATCATTTTAGAAAGTCTACTATGAATTAATTTTGATGTAGTTATTCTACCACAAAGAATCATAGCCTATAAGATTCGTAACAAAAAAATCAATATTCACCTTATCCTTATAAGGTTGTGAGACTAACAACTTTCTCACAATTCCAACCAAGAATCAACCTTTTATCTATCATAAATATCTGGTAATAACTTCTGATACCAAATGTAAGTTCCTGAGTTTGGACTTCCCGGGAGGTCACCCAGCCCAGTACTATTCAAACCCAAGGACGCTTAACTCCAACTATCCCAAGACCCTTAACCGATTGGAAAAGGGGGTGCACTCTTGTTCATGGGCCCTTTCCCTCTATATTTGAACCCCATGGACCGTCTCTCGAGTCGTTCCCTTTGGTTGCTTACAACATGATATTGATTCAACCCTTGAGGGTCTAGGCAAAGTAGAAAATCTTTAATGAGATTGACAAAATCTTTAGCTTCTTTTATGTTGCTTTGAACCTCAATAATTTAGCATCCTTACCATGTATCAACATTATTAAGAGATTTTTTCCCTTTGTCATAGCCATTATCACTAATGTTATACTCTTCATCAAGATCTATATCCCACTCCTTTACAATCCCCAAAAGAATGTGCTAATTTGATACCAATGAAACAAACAAGGAGCAAACCTAGGCTAACCTCCCAACCTTTAAGGTGTTCCAGCTTTAAATCCCACAAGTTATAGAATATTTTTAAAATATTCTTGTGATTCATGTCTACTTTTCTCAAAAAGGTGGAGAACCAAGAAAAGGGTATCCCAATAATAATAGATCAATCAGTTATATATAAAAAGTTGGAGTGGAATATTGGTAAGGAGGCTATATAACAATTTAAAGCCTAACTTATGAGGAATATATAGAACTCAAACTTTATGCCATCAAAGTTTTCTGTCATATTAATTTTTGGCTTAAAACCAAGAAGTTATTATAAATAATTTGCTAGAACAATGAGTGGTGTGCTATATTAGATTGCTTGAACACTTGATATAACTTTCATAAAGTTTTGAAATTTAGCTGGAGCTAAAGAAGAAGATCTGAGAAAGCCATTAACATTAGAGTTTTTAAATTGTCAAAAGCTCATTATGGAAAGAAGGGAAGATGACAAACCTATTAATAAAATATTAAAGTAATGATAAGAAAAAGATCGATTTGTGTTGAACATTCTAAACACAAAGTTCTTAAGATCCATCTATGTGCATAATAGGTCTTAAATAAAATCCTATAAGCAAAGGTTTCCAAATTCAATTCCCACTATAGTTAATAGCAGTGAATATACTCTCTATAAATATAGAAAGATAGCACATGTTATGCCTTCATATGGATGGTTTACCCCCTCTATTACTAGAGAATGTTTTACCAAGTCATGACTGCTCAAAAGGACAAGCAATGGATATGTTGATTGTGGAATATTTTAGATGGTAATAAGCCTTGTGGCAATTATAATTTTTTTTGCTATATTAATGATAGCACCAACGTTTTATATCAACTTGTAGTTACACTTTTTCCATGGTAGTCTCATGTCCAACCACTTAGGATGTCACAAAGTTTTGGAGAAAGTTCAATATCAATTATATTACCCTCAGTTTGGTAATTTATTCTGTTTGACACTACTTTTAGAGTTCTCTCAAGTTGACAATATCTACAATATAGATAAAGTCTTGAGCTCTAGTCTTCATCATCCTCCCTTATGCATTCTCCAAGGCCATAATAAACCACTATAGACCTTAATCCAACATGAACGTAAATGGTCCTTCAATTTAACTTTACTCACTACTATATGTTATTCTACACACCATTCCATAAAAGGGTTTTAAATATCTATATCTAGTTTATACAAGTCACTATATTGTGTTAGCTTAGAGAGTTCTGGACTGATATGTATGGAAAAGAATCAAATAAATATTCAACTCATTAAGTCTTGTAAAAATTTGAAAAATGCAAAAGAACTCCATTTCCAAGTGGAAACAAGGCTTCCATTTGATACTTATCTTTCCAACTTAGTAATTCAAATGTATGGCAAATGTGGAAGTGTGGAAAATTCAAAAAAAGTGTTTGATAGTATACACTCAAAAAGTATCTATACTTGGGGATTGTTGCTCATTGCATACACTTCAAATGGCTACATCACCCAGGCTATACAAGTATTTGACTCTATGCCTGAACACGACTTGTTTTCTTGGACTGCAATGCTTGCAGCATATGCCAAATCTGGGTATTTGCAGCAGGCAAAGAGAACTTTCGATCAAATGAAAGAGCGTGACATTGTCTCATGGAATGCAATGTTAACAGCATACTCCAACTACCAGTTGTTAAAAGAGGCCAAGAATACTTTTGATATGATGCCAGAGCATAATATCATCTCCTGGAGTGCCATGCTTATTGTATATGCCCAATCTGGTTATCTATTCGAGGCTAGAGATATCTTTGATCGGATGCCTGAACGTGACCTCGTGTCCTGGACGGTGATGCTTGTATCCTATTCTGAGAATCTCAAGCCTCACGAGGCAAAATTTATATTTGACCAAATGCCAGAGCAAGACGTGGTATCTTGGACCGCGATGCTTGCCGCATATACCCATGCAAGGCATGTAGAACAAGCTCGTCACATCTTTGATTCCATGCGCGAGCGAAATTTGATCTCTTGGACGACGATGCTCCTGGCTTGCACAAACGTTGGGAATCTTGACCAAGCACAGGGAATCTTTGATTCTATGCCGGAGAGAGACATAGTATCATGGAATGCACTTATTGCGGCATATGCCGAGAGAGGGCAGCTTGATCATGCCAAGCGGCTCTTTAGTTCGATGGCACGCTGGGATCGCGTCTCGTGCACCGCCATCCTCCGTGGCTTTGCGATCTCCGGCGCAATTGAGGAGGCCAAGGTGGCGTTTGATTCCATGCAAGAGAAGGATCTAGTAGCGTGGAACTCGATGCTTTTGGCATATGCCCGGAACAATCACCTAGGCGAGGCGGAGGCCTTCTTCTTGGTGATGCCCGACCGCGACGTCGTCTCGTGGACGGTCATGATCTCCGCCTACGCCATCAACGGCCAGCCCGCGTCAGCCAGGCGCGTGTTTGATTCCATGCCCGAGCAGGACCCCGTGACGCAGACTGCGATGCTCTCAGTACTTGCCCAGAATGGCCATATGGAAGATGCTCACAGGATCTTTCAGGGCATGGGCGACGGGCACAACCTCGTGGCGTGGAACGCGATGCTCGACGGCTACGCCCGGGCCGGCGCCGCGCTGCAAGCCCTAGAGCTATTCCACGAGATGAAAGCGTTCGATCTTCAGGATGGGGGATCGTTCGTGAGCGCGCTCACGGGATGCGCGCATTTGGGGGATTTGTGCAGGGGATTGAGCTATTTCGCGTCGATGGTGGTCGATTTCAGCCTGGATCCCAAGAGCCAACACTACTGCTGCGTGGTGGATCTCCTGGCGCGCGCCGGGCACGTTGAGGATGCCGAGGATCTCGTCGAGAACATGCCCTTCGTCCCCTAGAGTGGAGGTGCAAGCAGGGATTCGATAAGTGTGCCCTGCTCGGCTGTTTATCGCTATTTTCAGAACAAGGTTTTCCATAGCAGTTTTTAATGTTATGGTTTAAAAATCTGTCGATTCTGATGGTCAAGAATTTTAGCGGAGCAATCGTTAGATTTGTGAACACTGTCCACAACCACAAAAGTAATGGCTCCTGCATTACTCAGAACAAAGTCGTAGTTATCTAGCCAAAGCACTATCAGCTAGCAAAACTAGGAAAAAGTAAAACCTGGCAGAGATCCTAAGACAGTTAGCTCAGCATGGACCCAAAAATGACTGGCGCCATACCATGGAAAGATCGGCCGGACAGGGCAAGCTAGCTCAATTGAAGCACAAAAAGGACTAACCTAGTGAATGATGGAACCATAAGCCTCTTGCGAGCTTAATGCCTGCTAAAGCTGTACAAGGCTATTGATCCAAGCTCCAATGAGTTCACTTCACTCAAAGTTCTCTTCATGTGTATACTGCCATGAATTTCCACCATTGGTAGCAAGTGACAATATTGATCCACACCCGAAAGAGAAGGAGCTCATGACTGCATTGTTGCTCAATCCTGGGCTGCCAAGTCCTCTCATCCATGAAATTTTTTTTCTTTTATCAAATTTGTTTAGTGTTAAAAATAAATTTTATAATTTATAAAAACAAGATTAATCTAATTCCATATGAACATTGTTTAAAAAAGTTTATAAATTTAATTTATTCATCTAAATGAGATGATAGAATATACCATAATATCCAGGTATTCTTGGTATCCATATAGGTTTGCTTATCATCCTCAAGAATGTAAGCACCTAAATTACTTGTCTTAAAATTTAAACACTCATCTGAGAATGTTTAAGAGTTAAAAATCATAGGTTTGAGATTGAGAAATATCCCTGAATATACTTAGATATTCTTGGGATATTCATTACCCTCAGACAAAAAATACCTCTCAAAGAATTAAAATTAAAGATATGCCTCTAAAAAGTTTTGATATTACAAAAAATAATGGCAATTATTTACTAAAAGAGCCTTTAGTGACATTTTTTATTTTATATATTCCCCAAAGCAAATCTCATCCTATAATCAATATGGTAGGCATTCCAAGCTTTATAACAAGAATGATGCATTATATATACTCTCAACTACTATAAAAACAACTCTATTGAGTGCACACACCTAGCTTGTACAATTAAGTGACCTCTCTAGGCTGTGGTTTTCATATATTAGTACTATATATTGAAGAAATTTAAAGAGCTTAGTGGTGAATAATATGCAATCACTAGAATATTTGCCAAGTAGTTTGAAGAAAACACATCTATTGTAGGTTATAGTGTATACAAATGAGAAACCTAAAGCCAAGTGAGGTGACCTACCTTTCCATCACCCCAACATGAGCACTAGAGGCTGTAGTGGTGGGGTTGTTTCTTTGTTTGTGTTGTCACCACCATATTTCCCATCTGTGCCACTATTGCAATCTTTGGTAGGATGTTCCACTTCCAAAGTTTCACTATTCATACCATGATATAGAAGCTAGTGTTTGAGCCAAGTTGCAAAGTGTTGGGTCTTATTGTTGTCTTTTAGCAGCCTATATCAAGGATAAATTGCTCCCAATATTCGTCACCACCACTACACCATTATCTATAATATTAATGGCTCTTTATTCTCAAACCTCCTCTTGTTGTGCACTTCCCATATCACTTAAAGCCTAATTACCCTCCATAGGCTTAGCAATTGTGTCTAATGACCTAGGGGTTGCTATCTTGGCCCCAAGTTTGTCCTAATACACTTGAGCTCCCCACCCTTGTCTTCTAAAGAGATTTTACACTATTGCAAATGTGATTGTGCGTATCAAAATTTACCTGTGGGACTTGAACTTGGGTCCAATCTCAAATTTGTGTAAGCAACCAAAAAGAACAACTTAAAAAATGATTAATATGGGTTCAAATATAGAAGGAAAAAGCTTATAAACTAAAATGCCCCTTTTCTAATCAATTAATGGTTTGATGCTTATGGGTTTAAATAATAGTGCTAAGGAAGTTTAAATTCAGGAGTTTATATTTGGTATGAAAAAAATAAAGGTTAAGGGAATCATACCACATATTGATTGACATTTGGTAGGTTTAATTTGCTCTAACTAGGCTCAACCTAAGGGGTAAGGTGTCAAGAGAGTGAAGCTTTTGGGAGAGTTGTGGCTCTTACTTTTCATTCATGAGGGTGTGAACTTGCATAAAAGTGACTCAAAAATGGTTTGATACATGATCCTTAAAGTTAAAATATAAAGGGAAAAGGCTCAGAAACAATATTGCACCCCCTTTCCCAGTTAGTTAAAGATTTTAAAATATTTGGGGTTAACTCGATCCCAACACTTTTGTAAGCTCTTGAGTTTGAACTTCCCGGGAGGTCACTAACCCAGTACTATTCAAACCCAAGGACACTTAACCCCAAATATCCTAAGACCCTTAACCGATTGGAAAAAGGGGTGCACTCTTGTTCATAGGCCCTTTCCCTTTATATTTGAACCCAATGGATCGTCTCTCAAGTCATTCTCTTTGGTTACTTACAATCCACCATGCTTCCCTACAATTTCACGCCCTTGTGAACGGAAGTTAAAAGCCGCAACTCTCCCGAGAGCCCTACTCTCTTGAAACCCTACCCCTCTGGTCGAGCCCAGCAGAAGCAAACTAGACCAGCCAGATGTCAATTAACATATGGTGTGATCCCCTAGCCATCCAACAGAGTCGGACTTGAGACCCCTAAGGCCACAGTGTTCCGAAATGTTGTCCTAAAGGCCCAGACTGTGGAAAGGAAGAGGAGTAGTCCTCTCGTGTAATGACCAAGGATACAGTTGGGTGGTGAGGAAGTTCCAGAGGACTATGGGACTTAGTGGTCAGGTTTGTGGGCCTCGATCCAATGGTAGTGTTGGCAAACACGGCCATGGGCAGAAAGGGACTTGGTGGGGACCGGAAAAGGGATATTAGGGAAGGTTATTTCCCATTAAGGATGCTAAGGAGTGGATCTGGGATGATCACTTATGGATGGAAGGCCCAATCTTTGAGAGATAGGGCTATGATGTAGGTGGTGTCAGACCACTGGTATGACCAAGGTGAATAGGCATGGCCTTAGCGTAACGGGCTGATATGTCGGTGGTACCTTGGGGTGTCAGTCATGGGATCGAACATGTGGAGCACTTGGAACAAGTGCAAAGGTTAAGTGGCATGGATGCCATTCTTAGGGCTAACAAGCCCCTAAGTCCAAAATAGGACTTACGGAGGTTGTAAGTGAGATTCTTCCAAGTTGTTGGAGGTGTGGTTAAGTGACTAAAGTAGAATGGAAAATTTAATCATTTATAACTTGGTATCAGAGCTGTTCCTTAGTCTGACTTTTATTAGTGTTCAAGTATATCACCACTAGTGTTGGCATCGGAAGGTCTAAGGAGTGGGTCTATCCTTGAGGAGTAGCAGGTCAGGAAGACATGGCTCTCCACTACAGTTCATGTGTGAATTTATAGGCGAGGTGGTGGATAGAAAAGGGCCAATAATGGAATGACTTTGGGATCTTAAGAACAGTATAAAGTTGTCCTCAGAGAGTTGAGGATGTGATCCAGATGAGCATTTGACTTAGTAAATTGGCTAATGTAATTGTAGTAAACAACTATGGTTGGGATCAGGGGAAAAATAGAGACTCCAAAATAATAAAGGAGTTACAAGATTATTCTTATATAGTTAAGGCTGGTGCTCATGAATTTGAGACCGAAATTAAGGACCTTGAGAGGTCAAATATGGATAAGGACACGAGTCTTTGAAATGGTAGCTAGGGCTACCCTTTATAAATGTTGGAACAAACCCAAGGAGTTAGGGGTGTGTTCAAAGGATGAATCAATATCCTCATCATATGGACGGATAGTCCTAATGGGCGAAGGTAGCCCACAATTATCAAAAATAGTCAAGTGTTGGAATAACATTTATAATGGTGGTCCTGGTGAGTAGGACATGAATACAAGAAGTTGTATTCCAATGAGTTGGCACCTCAAAAGTAAGACCTTATAGGTTGGGGGATTAAAAAAAATCCAAAAGGCTGAATGACTTAAGTGGAGTCAAGGAATAGTCCTAAAGGACTGATGGAAGCATTTGGATTGAAGTGTGTTGTGCCCCATGGAGGATGGGGAGGATTCATCCCTATGAATACTTGCTAAGGCATGGTAGAATGTGCAAAGTTATTCTCCTAGTCTGGAGGAGAATAATTGAAGGAAACATATGAGGCCAAAAGGCAAATAGTATTGGGATGGAACTGAACTATAAAAATTGAAAGGTATAACCAACAGTGGTTATGCAAGTTGGGAGTGGAAAATCAAAAGGGTGCTCGAGGATGTTATTACTAGCAACTGCGATGCCATAGAGAGTCTAAAATGTAAAATTATCCATGTTAGACCATATAGTAAGTAAGGAGTTTGCAAAGAAAAAACCTTAATAAGCTAAGGAACAGAATTCCTTGAAGGTTCCTAAAGACAATTCTAGGTAGATAAGTACCTAGAAAGCCAAGTGTAAATGATTCCTAGAGCGCGCAAAATTAGAGTGGCGTAGTAGAAGCGTGGTTTTGAAACTGGCCATAAGGCGAGGCTATCAAAATTGGGGAAGTAGTTCCCGAGTGTTCAAAGAGAGGGCTTTGAACAAAAGTTGATAATTAAGGACTTTCACACTTATGCATGAACCATGTTACGGTGGCCGGATGACTTGTTAAGTGAGATTTGCAAGTCAGGGGGACAAATCCCCTAGTTGAAGGTGCTAACTTCAAAAGGGGTGGCCCATGGGGCCGAGCATGGAGGAGTCTATGCATGATCATAGACTTGTCAAGTGAGAGGACTTGGCAGTGCAGAGGAACTAGGTTCCTAAGCTATGATCTATAGCACGCTTTAAGTATAAGTTGGTGCACCAGTGTGGGGAGTCATGCTAAGCATCCTAAGCGATGCCGTCCGTAGATGCATA